TTAAAAAAAAAAAAAAAAAATCTAAAACAGATGAGGCAAGCCCCAGACCCGGCCTTCCCTCCGGTGGCCTGCTCTCCCACGGGCTGCACCGCCAGAGCTTGGCCCGGTACCGTGGGGGCGCCCGGCCCACAGCTGGCTCACCCCGGGCCACTCTGCTGAGTCTGGGTGGGCACTAAATGCTGGTGGCATTGCCACAAAAGGAAAAGCAAAACAGCCCACCCTTCCTTAGACACCCCCACCTGAGCGGAACTTTCTTGGGAATGTGCCAGTTATCTGGGGGGGGGGAGGGAGAGAAATAAATACCAGGAGCTCAGGAGACGCCCCTGGACCTCTGGCATCGGCTCAGCCTCCGGGGCAGAGATGGCCTCCAGGGAGGCCCTGATTGTCCAAACACTGCACTCTGATTCAGATTATAGGTCTCTGATCTCCCCAGCAGGCACCTGCCCTGGGGGAGTGAGTCTCAGAGGGAGAAAAGGGGCCAGCCCCTCAGGTACTGTCCTGTCACCCGGGCCCAGCTCGCGTCCAACCCCAGGCTGCTGCCCTGGCCGAGGGGCTGGGCCGGCTGTCCTGGGGTTTCGGGGTTTCTGGGTCCCTGGGCCGGAGGACCTCCGGTGGTCCCACTGCCAGCCACAGCGGGCGGCCCTGCGCTCCCGGCCGCGGCTCAAGCCTGCTCCTTGTCGGCCCTCCACAGCCGCTCCTTCACCTCGGGGGGCAGCGTGTTGAACAGGTCCTCCTCCACCACCAGGCCGCTGCGCTTGAGCAGCGGGCACTCGCCCAGCTCCACTGGCAGGCACTCCAGCCGGTTGCCCCGCAGCTCGATCTGGGCGAGGTTGGTGAGCTCGCCCACCCGCGAGGGCAGCGACTGCAGCACGTTGTTGCCCAGGTGCAGGGCCCGCAGCTTCCGGCACTGGAAGAGCTCTGGGGGCAGCGCCTCAATCTAGGGCGGAAAGGGCGGGAGGTGAGGTGAGGTGGGCAAAGCTCAGGCCTGAGGGCTTCTGGGCCAAACGCTTCCCTTCCCTTCCCCCCTCCTGGGCACTGGCACCTTCTCTGAGGTCAATTTCAGCTCCCCGGGGTGGTGCCAGCACCAGTACCATCTGGGCCAAAGTCTGGCTCGCTCCCACCTCCTCCAGGAAGACTCCCAGACCTCCTAGGTAACCTACAGCACCCATGTGCCCCCAACAGCCCTGCTCTCTCGATGGTGAAACTGCTTGGTCACCCGTCACCCCAGGACTGTGAGCTCTGAGAAGGCAGGACCGGGTCCACCTAGTTCCCCAGTCTCCCAGCACCCGGCACCCTAAGAAGCTATGGCGCTAGCCAGCTACTGTCAACTCTACCCCTCCTCCACCGCCCAGGGCTCACCACGGGTCAGGCGGTTGGTCCTGTCTGGCTTAAGGACAGTTTATGAGAGGAGAGCGGCACACGGAGAAAACCTGCACCCTTACGTGTTGCTGAGAACAGAGAGAGCCCACCAGTAGGAGTGAGAATCCCTTTGGGGCCTAGGCTTCCTCATCTCAAGTCGTACGCTGCTTGTGAGTGTATGCAGCCCAGGAGTGGCCGTTCAGAGTCCCCTTTCTGACTTGGCAAAATTAGAGTAATGGGCAATTCCCACTTGCTTACCACACAGGCCGCCTCTGAGCACTCAGATCACTAACCCTTTTAGTCCTCGGAACTACCTGTAAATATTCTGTAAACACTTCCCATTTCACAGACGGGGTGACCAAGGCCCTAGAGAAGCTAACTTGCCCAGCTGTTCACAGCTGGAAAGTGGAGCCAAGATCTGAACCTGGTTCAATAGCCCAGGCCCTGCTGCGTCTGCAATGCTGGTAGAAAGGGGAGCACTCGACACACACACACACACACACACGCCGCCTGGGAAGAGCCACAGTCCCTGCTCCCTCCTTGCCCCTCTGCAAGTGTCAGCTATAAACCTGAGTTCTCACCAATCCAACCTGTCCCAAAACGACCTACGTCAGATGTGACCTACGTCAGATGTGATGGGCAGGAGGGACCCTGCCAGCGCTGACACTGCTCTGTCACTGTGCCCAGTATCCTGCCAAGGAGGCCAAGGCTTGGACAGTGAAACGCATGCAAAGCTGCGGGGCCAGAAGGGCCAGCCGGCGCCCTCTCACTCAGCCCCTCTGCCGTTCCTCTCCGCGAATACTGCGGGGAAACCGCAGGGAATACCGTGCTCGCTAGGCAGCGCAGCCCTGGGCAGGCCTTTCCCTGCCCGGGCGGGATAAAGGGTTGGGCTGGGAGTGCCGCTGGGCTGGGATCGTCTGTGGCAGAGGACCTGTGGGCAGACGGGGACCTCCACCTAGGAGGCTCTTGCTCGCTCCAGCCATTTCTGGAGGACACTCATCCCAGGCGGGGGCCTTGTCCTGCCCAGTGGGAGAATCAGCGTGGCTGTGGCTGGGCAGAGGCCACGCTGAGGGACACTGTGACTGTTTTTTTTTTATAAATATACTTTTATTGATTTCAGAGAGAGGAAAGGAGAGAGAGAGAAACATCAATGAGAGAGTCACTGATGGGCTGCCTCCTGCACACCCCCTACTGGGGATCGAGCCCGCAACCTGGGCCTGTGCCCTGACCCGGGATTGAACCGTGATTTCCCCAACCACTGAGCCGTGCAGGCTGGGCGACTGTGGCTATTTTAAAGGAATCTCCTCATGTGGGGGCTTCTGAAACGGCCACTGCTGTGTCCAGTGGTCAGGAATGGGGCAGAGGAGGCTCCAGGTATGAAGGTGAGGGGGCAGATGGGACATGCGCTCCAGCCGAACTGAGGGGCCAGAGTTTCCCAGAAACCTGACTCCCCCCACATGGCCCTTGTGATGACAGAGACAGTGGTCAGAGGAGCAGCAAAGGCCCTGGCGGACAGTGGCAGGGCTGGGGTTCACATGCAGAGCTCCCCCTGAAACCTCCCCAGGACACTCCCTGCCCCAGCTAGGGTGGTCTCTCCAGAGAAACAGAAGGTGACTTCAGGAGCTTACTGCCCACCATGGCCACACCTGTCCTTTGCACCTGTCCTTCCCCAGATGTTGCTTGTCCCCAGTCCCGCTGTCCCACCTCCTTGGGGGCCTCAGTGGGTCCCCATCAGCACTGAAGTGGCCCCCAGTCTATCTGATCTTTGAAACAGACAACCTCCCAGGAGCCTCTGGGCTGCTCCATCATTCCAACCTCCCTGCAAATACCTGGGAAGATGCCACCTCCCCTCAGCCCACCGTGGTCCAGCTTCTGCCCTGTCCGCCCTGGAAACCCTCTGGCCAAAGTCACCAACTGTGACCCCCGATCCACTGGACCTGAACCCATTCTCCTTCCACCTGACTCCCCATGCGCCACGAGCCCACACTCCTGCCTGGCCTTGCTCTTCTGCTATCTATGCCGAAGGCTCCAGCAGACTCCCTTCCTTCCCCGAGCCCTGGGGTGAGGACACCCTGAGCTTCAGGCTGACTCAACATGGCCTCTTGGACGTCCCAGGGCCCCAGACACCCAACACGGGACATACGATCTCCTCTCTGAAAACCTGTGCCTCCTCCTGTGTCCTGTCTCAGTGACCATCCACCCACCCAGCAGCCAGGTGAGAAACCTCCAGCAGCCCCAGACCGCTCCTCCCCCTCCAACCCAGCCCACACCCTGTGGGTTCTACCCCCAAAGTCTCCGGGAACCCTGTCTCCCCCCAGCCGGCAGGTGTGGCCCTCCCCTGCTGCTGCACATGGTTTCTATGGGCTCCTTACTGCTCACCTTGCCCCCCCC